AGACAGGGTGGCTGGGCCGATCACGACTCGTTGAATCGAGATGTCCGACCAGTGCTTCTTCTGTCGATCGCGGATCGTGGTGGGGCCTGTGTGGGCTGTGTGCGATCGCTGGGACGAGTGGGTGGTAGCGAGCGCGTCGGTTTGTTTGATTTTGTATGTTTTGGGTTTGTGTGCGAGTATGAAGCCCGTCTAGCTCAGTCGGTAGAGCGCAAGACTCTTAATCTTGTGGTCGTGGGTTCGAGCCCCACGGTGGGCGACTGCTTTTGCTATTTTGGCCTCGCGCGCACGTCCGCTCTTGATATGCGTGGCGAGCGTCTCTGATCCCTCCCACGCCTCCCAGTGTGTATCTGTGTCCATGATACCGGTGTGGATGTTTGACAGTCGTCCTGTTTCCGATGACTGGTAATATCTGGCCGTTCTTGCTGCGGACAGGGTCGCGCAGATCGAGTCCGGCTTGCATGCCACACCACCACGCCGCTCGGACTCGACATGTGGACGGGTCCATCAAGGACCTCGGACAGTGTGAAGTGAAGCCGTGTGAGCGAGACGGAGTTGGTTCGAAGAGACAGGGTGGCTGGGCCGATCACGACTCGTTGAATCGAGATGTCCGACCAGTGCTTCTTCTGTCGATCGCGGATCGTGGTGGGGCCTGTGTGGGCTGTGTGCGATCGCTGGGACGAGTGGGTGGTAGCGAGCGCGTCGGTTTGTTTGATTTTGTATGTTTTGGGTTTGTGTGCGAGTATGAAGCCCGTCTAGCTCAGTCGGTAGAGCGCAAGACTCTTAATCTTGTGGTCGTGGGTTCGAGCCCCACGGTGGGCGACTGCTTTTGCCATTTTGGCCTCGCGCGCACGTCCGCTCTTGATATGCGTGGCGAGCGTCTCTGATCCCTCCCACGCCTCCCAGTGTGTATCTGAGTCCATGATACCGGTGTGGATGTTTGACAGTCGTCCTGTTTCCGATGACTGGTAATATCTGGCCGTTCTTGCTGCGGACAGGGTCGCGCAGATCGAGTCCGGCTTGCATGCCACACCACCACGCCGCTCGGACTCGACATGTGGACGGGTCCATCAAGGACCTCGGACAGTGTGAAGTGAAGCCGTGTGAGCAAGACGGAGTTGGTTTGAAGAGACAGGGTGGCTGGGCCGATCACGACTCGTTGAATCGAGATGTCCGACCAGTGCTTCTTCTGTCGATCGCGGATCGTGGTGGGGCCTGTGTGGGCTGTGTGCGATCGCTGGGACGAGTGGGTGGTAGCGAGCGCGTCGGTTTGTTTGATTTTGTATGTTTTGGGTTTGTGTGCGAGTATGAAGCCCGTCTAGCTCAGTCGGTAGAGCGCAAGACTCTTAATCTTGTGGTCGTGGGTTCGAGCCCCACGGTGGGCGACTGCTTTTGCCATTTTGGCCTCGCGCGCACGTCCGCTCTTGATATGCGTGGCGAGCGTCTCTGATCCCTCCCCACGCCTCCCAGTGTGTATCTGTGTCCATGATACCGGTGTGGATGTTTGACAGTCGTCCTGTTTCCGATGACTGGTAATATCTGGCCGTTCTTGCTGTGGACAGGGTCGCGCAGATCGAGTCCGGCTTGCATGCCACACCACCACGCCGCTCGGACTCGACATGTGGACGGGTCCATCAAGGACCTCGGACAGTGTGAAGTGAAGCCGTGTGAGCAAGACGGAGTTGGTTCGAAGAGACAGGGTGGCTGGGCCGATCACGACTCGTTGAATCGAGATGTCCGACCAGTGCTTCTTCTGTCGATCGCGGATCGTGGTGGGGCCTGTGTGGGCTGTGTGCGATCGCTGGGACGAGTGGGTGGTAGCGAGCGCGTCGGTTTGTTTGATTTTGTATGTTTTGGGTTTGTGTGCGAGTATGAAGCCCGTCTAGCTCAGTCATTAGAGCGCAAGACTCTTAATCTTGTGGTCGTGGGTTCGAGCCCCACGGTGGGCGACTGCTTTTGCCATTTTGGCCTCGCGCGCACGTCCGCTCTTGATATGCGTGGCGAGCGTCTCTGATCCCTCCCACGCCTCCCAGTGTGTATCTGAGTCCATGATACCGGTGTGGATGTTTGACAGTCGTCCTGTTTCCGATGACTGGTAATATCTGGCCGTTCTTGCTGCGTACAGGGTCGCGCAGATCGAGTCCGGCTTGCATGCCACACCACCACGCCGCTCGGACTCGACAATGGGACGGGTCCATCAAGGACCTCGGACAGCGTGAAGTGAAGCCGTGTGAGCGAGACGGAGTTGGTTCGAAGAGACAGGGTGGCTGGGCCGATCACGACTCGTTGAATCGAGATGTCCGACCAGTGCTTCTTCTGTCGATCGCGGATCGTGGTGGGGCCTGTGTGGGCTGTGTGCGATCGCTGGGACGAGTGGGTCGTAGCGAGCGCGTCGGTTTGTTTGATTTTGTATGTTTTGGGTTGGTGTGAGAGTATGAAGCCCGTCTAGTTCAGTCCAATAGAGCGCAAGACTGTTAATCTTGTGGTCGTGGCTTCGAGCCCCACGGTGGGTGACTGCTTTTGCTATTTTGGCCTCGCGCGCACGTCTGCTCGTGGCGAGCGTCTCTGATCCCTCCCACGCCTCCCAGTGTGTATCTGAGTCCATGATACCGGTGTGGATGTTTGACAGTCGTCCTGTTTCCGATGACTGGTAATATCTGGCCGTTCTTGCTGCGGACAGGGTCGCGCAGATCGAGTCCGGCTTGCATGCCACACCACCACGCCGCTCGGACTCGACATGTGGACGGGTCCATCAAGGACCTCGGACAGCGTGAAGTGAAGCCGTGTGAGCGAGACGCTGTTGGTTTGAAGAGACAGGGTGGCTGGGCCGATCACGACTCGTTGAATCGAGATGTCCGACCAGTGCTTCTTCTGTCGATAGCGGATCGTGGTGGGGCCTGTGTGGGCTGTGTGCGATCGCTGGGACGAGTGGGTGGTAGCGAGCGCGTCGGTTTGTTTGATTTTGTATGTTTTGGGTTTGTGTGCGAGTATGAAGCCCGTCTAGCTCAGTCGGTAGAGTGCAAGACTCTTAGTCTTGTGGTCGTGGGCTCGAGCCCCACGGTGGGCGACTGCTTTTGCTATTTTGGCCTCGCGCGCACGTCCGCTCTTGATATGCGTGACGATCGTCTCTGATCCCTCCCACGCCTCCCAGTGTGTATCTGTGTCCATGATACCGGTGTGGATGTTTGACAGTCGTCCTGTTTCCGATGACTGGTAATATCTGGCCGTTCTTGCTGCGGACAGGGTCGCGCAGATCGAGTCCGGCTTGCATGCCACACCACCACACCGCTCGGACTCGACATGTGGACGGGTCCATCAAGGACCTCGGACAGTGTGAAGTGAAGCCGTGTGAGCAAGACGGAGTTGGTTCGAAGAGACAGGGTGGCTGGGCCGATCACGACTCGTTGAATCGAGATGTCCGGCCAGTGCTTCTTCTGTCGATCGCGGATCGTGGTGGGGCCTGTGTGGGCTGTGTGCGATCGCTGGGACGAGTGGGTGGTAGCGAGCGCGTCGGTTTGTTTGATTTTGTATGTTTTGGGTTTGTGTGCGAGTATGAAGCCCGTCTAGCTCAGTCGGTAGAGCGCAAGACTCTTAATCTTGTGGTCGTGGGTTCGAGCCCCACGGTGGGCGACTGCTTTTGCCATTTTGGCCTCGCGCGCACGTCCGCTCTTGATATGCGTGGCGAGCGTCTCTGATCCCTCCCACGCCTCCCAGTGTGTATCTGTGTCCATGATACCGGTGTGGATGTTTGACAGTCGTCCTGTTTCCGATGACTGGTAATATCTGGCCGTTCTTGCTGCGGACAGGGTCGCGCAGATCGAGTCCGGCTTGCATGCCACACCACCACACCGCTCGGACTCGACATGTGGACGGGTCCATCAAGGACCTCGGACAGTGTGAAGTGAAGCCGTGTGAGCAAGACGGAGTTGGTTCGAAGAGACAGGGTGGCTGGGCCGATCACGACTCGTTGAATCGAGATGTCCGGCCAGTGCTTCTTCTGTCGATCGCGGATCGTGGTCGGGCCTGTGTGGGCTGTGTGCGATCGCTGGGACGAGTGGGTGGTAGCGAGCGCGTCGGTTTGTTTGATTTTGTATGTTTTGGGTTTGTGTGCGAGTATGAAGCCCGTCTAGCTCAGTCGGTAGAGCGCAAGACTCTTAATCTTGTGGTCGTGGGTTCGAGCCCCACGGTGGGCGACTGCTTTTGCTATTTTGGCCTCGCGCGCACGTCCGCTCTTGATATGCGTGACGATCGTCTCTGATCCCTCCCATGCCTCCCAGTGTGTATCTGACTCCATGATACCGGTGTGGATGTTTGACAGTCGTCCTGTTTCCGATGACTGGTAAAATCTGGCCGCTCTTGCTGCGGACAGGGTCGCGCAGATCGAGTCCGGCTTGCATGCCACACCACCACGCCGCTCGGACTCGATATGTGGACGGGTCCATCAAGGACCTCGGACAGTGTGAAGTGAAGCCGTGTGAGCAAGACGGAGTTGGTGCGAAGAGACAGGGTGGCTGGGCCGATCACGACTCGTTGAATCGAGATGTCCGACCAGTGCTTCTTCTGTCGATCGCGGATCGGGGTGGGGCCTGTGTGGGCTGTGTGCGATCGCTGGGACGAGTGGGTGGTAGCCACCGCGTCGGTTTGCTTGATTTTGCATGTTTTGGGTTTGTGTGCGAGTATGAAGCCCGTCTAGCTCAGTCGGTAGAGCGCAAGACTCTTAATCTTGTGGTCGTGGGTTCGAGCCCCACGGTGGGCGACTGCTTTTGCCATTTTGGCCTCGCGCGCACGTCCGCTCTTGATATGCGTGGCGAGCGTCTCTGATCCCTCCCACGCCTCCCAGTGTGTATCTGTGTCCATGATACCGGTGTGGATGTTTGACAGTCGTCCTGTTTCCGATGACTGGTAATATCTGGCCGTTCTTGCTGCGGACAGGGTCGCGCAGATCGAGTCCGGCTTGCATGCCACACCACCACGCCGCTCGGACTCGACATGTGGACGGGTCCATCAAGGACCTCGGACAGCGTGAAGTGAAGCCGTGTGAGCAAGACGGAGTTGGTTCAAAGAGACAGGGTGGCTGGGCCGATCACGACTCGTTGAATCGAGATGTCCGACCAGTGCTTCTTCTGTCGATCGCGGATCGTGGTGGGGCCTGTGTGGGCTGTGTGCGATCGCTGGGACGAGTGGGTGGTCGTCACAGCGCATGCAAACGCTGCATGGACCCCTTCAATAGGTGTAGGACCTTAGTCCCTATTTTGCCACGCAATCGACACTAACTCCGCACTGTAGCGTCCTTTCTCTCTCTCTCTCTCTCTCTCTCTTTCTCTCTCTCTCTCTCTCTCTCTCTCTCTCTCTCTCTCTCTCTCTCTCTCTCTCTCTCTCTCTCTCTCACTCTCTCTCTCTCTATCA